GGGCGAGGGGCCACTTTTCCCCGCGTTCAGCACCAGCTTGTAACCCACCCCACAGCCAGCCTGGCAGTGGGGCCGGGTTGGAAACTGGTGCTGAGTGCGGGAGGCAGAGAAAGCAGCCCTTTGCCTGCCCCGTGCCTGGCACCATGGGCTGCGAGCGCCTGCAGTGTGGGGCACTGGCCATGGGGCAGGCGAGGGGCTGCTTTTCTTCGCACAGGGAAGGAGCCTGGGGAAAAGCTGAGCACAGGGGGAAGTGGCCCCTCCCACGCCCGGTGCACCATGCTGCAGGCACTCGCAGCCCGCATGGGGCTGTCCGGAGTGGGCACAGGCAGCCCCACATGGGCTGCAAGCATTGCAGCGCGGGGCACCGGGCGTGGAGCAGGGAAGGTCTGCTTCTCCCCCCTTCCCCCCATGCTCCTTCCCTGCCTGGGGTCCCCCCCCGCACTTACCTGCGCTTCCCGCACTGGGGCAGCCACACGCTCCCAGCCCAGAAGCCCCAGCTGGTGCTTCCAGCTGGGGGGCAGGGCCCGGCGGCCGGGTTGTTGTTGGAGCCTGCCGGGCTTCCCCTGGGTCCTACTGCCCTTTGTTCCTGCATTTCTGACAGGAACCAAGGGCAGAGAAATATTAATTTTCTACAGTTTTTAGGGGCCCTGTGGGCCGGATAGAATGGCTTTGCAAGCCAGATCCGGCCCACGTGCCGTATTTTGCCCACCGCTGTTATATTGTGACATGGCACCAAGATCCTTTTAAGAGTAGAACAGTATTAACACTTTTAGGGGTGCAAGGACATACATGATTCACAAGATAAATTCAAAGATTTCAAATACAAATCCACAATGTCAAAATCATTCTGACCTGTTGTGGTCTTTGAGTGCTTTGCAACAGAACAATTGCTCTGTTATAGTTTTCTGTATTCCAAAAAAATGATGGAAAGCTAAGAACTGGCATTTTTTCCAAGGAGTGTCATATGTCTAATGAATAGTTCCTTGAGTCTAGAAAAAGGTTAAGAACCACTGGCTTATATGAAAGGCTGTAGACCACCAGGTAATTTCACCTTTTGAGGCAGGGAAGTGTGACTTCTGTGTAGCACAGAGGCACTGTTGGAAGCTAAATATGATGGTGTTCAACTATTTCAAAGTAAACCACATACACTTACCCTAAGATTTGGTTCTATTAAAAATAGTATTGGGATAAAGGTATGATACCATTCTTGCTCAAGATTTAGATAAGTTATTGGAAACCAGGGAAGGGTTATGTACTAATAATAATACTTTACAATAGTTTGAAAGAGAAGTTGTTCATGTTACCCTTCATATGTTGTGTTAAAGTGGTCATTTATCTTTCATTTATATAGAGAAAGATTTAAATTGGAGCTTGATAATATTACTGGTCAAAAGGATACAGTGATTTAAAAGCATAATGACAGTTACCAATTTGAGATCTCTTTTAAATGACCCCCCATGTCAAAATAATACAATACAGTTGTAATTGAATACTTATGAATGCACTGAAGTGCTTGATACCATGAACCGACGAGTTCTTATCTCTAAATGGTGAGCTTTGCACCTAAAGCCATGCAGCTAGTCCTTGAATTAATTAACTAGTCAGATCCCATTTGTCAGATGGTCTACATTTTGAACATGAGACCCATACTTTGTTTAAAAGCTTCTTTGTAAGTACTCCTTATTCTGACGATGAGGCTATAGGCCCACTTAAATATTCATCTCTGCATGTTGCTGAGCTTGGGATGCTCTGTTTCCTCTTGGAAGAAGAGGGCGGCTAATTAACATGAGACTAGGCTAATTGGCACTGTCTCAGGAATACTAAGTAGTGTACCTGAAACCTACTCCAAATGTGACTATTTTGCTTCTATCTCATAATTAAGTATGCTTTTTGAGGCCAGTTTGTGACAGATTGCTTTAGTTATATAACAGTTTCCTAGAGTGTGTGTGGGGTGAGGTGAACAATACAGTGGAAATGACCAAGTCCAAACCCACCATTCTACAGCCTTGTATGAGATGTTTCTGTACTAATATACCAAGAAAATAGAGTCTCAAATATCTTTGGCCCCAGGTATTTGACTTTTCCTCCCTCCTCGCACCCCCACCCCCCAATAAGCATCTGATGATTTTTGCCTTCACTGCTCTGAACACAAGGGGCAACTTTCTTCTGAGATCTCATCACTTTATACCATATTTACTCTATTCCAAGAAGAGGTTTTTTCCCTCCCTCCCCATTCAACAAAGGGAAAACGAAGCCTTGTCTTAGGTTGGGAGTATCAGGTGAAAATTCAGTACTTGCATTTAGGATTCCACTCTGAGACAAGGGGCAGTACACAGACATGTGGCACAGCTTTGGCACCTGGCAGTGAGGCACATGACAGCAATTCACCTGGCTAAGAGACCCAGTGATGAGGCATACGGTTGCCCCTGGCAACAGTAGCAGTGAGGCATGTGCAGGGAGCACATGGTAAGGGGGCAGATGGAGGCAGGGAAAGCAGTGCATTACAGGGCCTGATCACCAATTCTGCTGGGCAAGCAGCAGCAGCGAAACTTTCAGTATCATTATGACAGATCACATAGAAACACAAGTAGCAATGGTACAAATATGGAGGTACTGGAAAGGAATGGGGCACAGCTATGATACATACTTTAAAATGATGGTCATAAATTGTGCTGAAAAAAACAAATAATTGAGAAGTATATGTTTCTGGAGCAAATGTTAATTGATGGAGACGATTGAAAGGTAAACTCCAAGAATGCTAAGTCCACTTGGAAATCTTTCAGTGGTCTAAGAAGGGGCCACTTTCCTGAAATTGATAAGTGAGTTCTTAAGTATGCTTAAGAAAAGAGAAATGAGGGAATGTCAGTTACACATGAAGAAATTAGACTCAAGCATTAGAAAAAAGAATTGAACATTCTGCAGCAAAAAATTAAAAGCAAATAATGGGCGGGTTCTCCAAATGATGCAACAGCTTCAGAAATACATTACTTGCACAAAAGTAACCACCAGGCTGCAGTGAAAAGCTTGTTGAATTATTGGACTGTGCAAGGTACATGATTACCAACTGGGCCAGGTAGGTAATTCTGACAAGACACTAGTCTATTTTAACGTGTTGAGCAATGTCACCATCAATGAGAGGTGCAAAATTCATAATTTTGACAAGTAGAGGAAACGAAGGGTTGCAAATAACATTGATGGTAGCAGTATTGGTGTATGGGAGAAAATTGCCATCCTGTGTGATTTTGAAACAGAAATCTGCTAAAAGATAACTTCTCACCAGGAGTAGAGGTTAGGCTCTAGAAATGAGGATGCATGTCAAGTGAACTGATGAATGACTGGTTAGATGTGTGGAACGAGACCAGGGGCACTGCTGAAGAAACAAGGAATATTAGTGTTAGAGGTATGTAGAAGACATGTAACACCCAATGCAAAAGCAAAAATTTGAGAAGTGCTGTATATATGAGGCCTGGATGAACCTGAAGATGATGTTTTGTGGGAAGATGAGGAGATGAGAACAGTGAAGAGAATAAAGAGAGTAGTGAAGAGAGCAAGAGTAAGACTACCTGTGAAAGTGACCAGTTTTAAATTGTAAGATCTAAGAAAGGACTCACCAGGTTTTTAGGACAGAACCTAATGTAGATAATTTTGTTGAATTTGACTTGCTGGTTTTTGTCAGTAGGTCTGTTTATAATAAATAATAACAAATTAAAAATTTTATATATGTGGAATCTAATTATTGGAGGATCATTTTAAATTCAGGTTTGTCTTGGAGTTGAGTAAATCCTTTCCCCAAACGCAAGTATTTATGATGAGATCTATTTTCAGCATCATACGGTTGACTACTTTTTTGAGACATTGACTGTAATGCATTCAAGGACATAGTTGTCTTTCTGGGTCACTCTTTGTCATTGGCAGTTGGCTAATAACTGGAACAACTGTCATTTGTTTGATTTCCTTTGTACAATGACTTTGTGGCCTATTAAAACTCTGTCGTGCATTTACGTACGCACAGCCACATGCCTGTTTTTAGGTTTTGTTGTTAAAGGTCTTTCTCTCTCCCAGAATAGTGGTCTCGTTCTTTTCAGCTTTAAGGTTAGCTGTCTTAGCATACTGCAGCCACTAGAGAGCAATATGATTACGTATTTCAGGAGGCCTCTATCTAGTAAAGGCCTTGCAGACACTCATGACACGCAGCCCTGAAACATAATCTAAAATGGCAACAACAGGTATTCGTGGTTTTCTTTTACTATTGCCTGCTATCTCTGAGGTACAAGAGCAGGATGGCAGTATAACAGGGCGTAGCAACCTATGGCACAGGGCACACGAAGGAGTTGGATCCACCTCACAAAGGTCCAACCAGGTAGGGCAGCATGGGGGATTGGAAGACACATATCTGTACTGAACCACACATCCCCTCTGGAGTGCTTTCTACTGACTTTTCATGCCTGTGGCACTTGCCCTTTCTGCAAAGGGACCAG